ACTCAGGCCTCTGTCGCCTTGCCTACCCCACATAGCTTCTCTGTGGGACAAGCTGTTGAATTGTTACCGGTATAACAGATCCACTAAAAACCGAGTCCTCTCAGGCAGGTTTTAAAGCAATGTTTGCTTCCAAATAAAGAGCTAATTCTACGTTTAGAGGCTAACAGCCTCATCAAGGCAACCAAACCCCTAGCACCAGCACTGTCCCCTGAGGAACTCAAGGTCCATGTGATGGTCACACAGCTCACAAGGGCATCCCCGTGTGGGAGATCGTGTCCTCCTTTGGTGGAGCGAAAGGTATTTTTCTTGACTTGACCAGTTTCTAAGTTTAGCCAAAGGAATAAGAGATAAATGAGAAAAACTAAGAGATGTCCATAAAAAACAAAAAGGAGTAACATGTGTGCATGATCAAATTCATAATAAAGAAAGCACCTAATAAAACAATATACTAGAACAGATACTATTGAACAGACCAAAATCTCAGAACATGCCCAGTATCTTGAGAGACTGGCATTCCAAAATAAAAGGAAAAGGACTGATTTCTCTACAAATAGGCTGAGTCAACTGAAAATTGTTTAAAAAAATACATCAATACCACACACCACATACCAAAATAAATTTGAAGAATATTAATTTTAATAAATGTTATAAACTATAAAAGTAGAACTTGAAAAAGTACAAAAGAAGTTTCTCCTAAGATGAGGCAGGTTTCTTTAAACACAGAAAATCATGAAGAAAAAAAAATAATATCAAAACCCCATCAAGATACCACCTTAGTCCAGTTAGAATGGCAAAAACCGATAAACCAAGAAACAAATGTTGGTGAGGAGGCAGAGAAAGGGGAACCCTCTTACACTGCTGGTGGAAATGCAAGTTGGTGCAGCCACTTTGTGAAAACAGTGTGGAGATTCCTTAAAAAATTAAAAACAGAGCTTCCCTATGACCCTGCAATTGCAGTACTGGGTATTTACCCCAAAGATACAGATGGAGTGAAAAGAAGGGACACATGTACCCCAATGTTCACAGAAGCAATGGCCACAATAGCCAAACTGTGGAAAGAGCCAAGATGCCCTTCAACAGGTGAATGAATAAAGACGTGGTCCATATATACAATGGAATATTACTCAGCCATCAGGAAGGATGAACACCCAACTTTTGTAGCAACATGGACAGGACTGGAGGAGATGATGCTGAGTGAAATAAGTCAAGCAGAGAGAGTCAATTATCATATGGTTTAGCTTTATTTGTGGAGCATAAGGAATAACATGGAGGACATTAGGAGAAGGAAAGGAAAAGTGAATTGGGGGAAATTGGAGGGGGAGACAAACCATGGGAAACAAACTGAGGGTTTTAGAAGGGAGGGAGTGGGGGGATGGGTTAGCCTGGTGGTGGGTACTAGGGAGGGCACGGATTGCATGGATGCAAACAATGAATCGTGGAACACTACATCAAAAACTAATGATGTGGTGACTAACACAACAGAATAAAAAAAAATAATAAAAAATAATTGTGAATGTCCTATGTAAAATAATAATAATAAAGAATAAGACTGATAAGTTTAAATATGCAAGGCTATTTAACTTCTTTTTACAAAAAGACGTGTCAAATTAAATGCAAAGGCAAACGTTAAGTTAGAGGGAAATATCTGCACAATATGACAAACCCCTGAGATACAGAAAGCTTTTAGGAATCCTCAAAATACAATGCGAGTGCTACCAAAAATGTGGGTAGGAGATGGAACTAAGGTTTTGTTCTAAACTTTTTTAAAACTGGAAAGAAAAAGGAGGGCCAGCGGCTTAGTTACAGCTGAAGAGCAGATCGCCCTGGAGCTGGGACATGGGGTGTGTTCGGGCACGCCACGTATCCAGCTGGCCTTCGAGAAAACATGAGACCAAGGGAAGTCCTGGTAGCCCTGGGGAAGACGGGACCGCCGGGTGAAGCCATAATGCCCCATGTCACAGAGCACGGGGCTGAGAGAGACCCAAGAGGTGTCGAGATCTCGTGTCCTTATCCTGTCCCACCGAACTGGGGCCCACGTGGGGCAGAAAAGGGGTGCACCGAGGCAGCAGGACTCCCCCATCCTGGGGCTATTCTCACGGCACTAACACATGATGCCTTTCTTGCCAGACTGGTGAGTGTCTGACAACAAGACATGACTTTAAAGATGCCTCAAACTCCCAAAAATGTCAGGGGGGAAAAAAAAAGAAGAAGAGAATCAATCCAAATTTCCTGTTTTGTTAAAAATATTTCATGTCTGCAAGGCCTTTGCCCTTCTGGAGGGTTGTCTCACCGCTTCGAGGACACACCATCAGTGCCCATCTGAGTTCCCTTCCTGGCTGAAAGGCTCAGGGAAGCAAGTGAAGTGAGAGGTCGACGGGCTGCGTGTGTCACCGTCACCCCAGCCCTCCCTCCACATCTGACAGCAGTCAGTCCAGGCCCCCGATTAGACACACAATCTCCTCGAATCCTTTCAGGCCAGAACCCAGACCTCTGAGCCAGGCATGAGGCCACAGCACCCCAAGAGTGCCCCCCAGACACTGCCACCACAGCCCAGGGGACACCCCAGACTTCCCGGCGCTGACAACTGCAGTTTTCCATTAGCGGCACTCTATTATTCAGGATTTCAGTGAATCATTGCTTCCAAATCAAGAAATACCAGTAAGCCTTATTGTTTGTGGAGGTACAGAATTCATGAATAATAACATGATTTAATGCTTTCATTACTCAGGGTAAGACCGCTTTACTGTCAGTGCGTTTTTAATTATTTTGCTTACAGATTTTCTTATTTACAGCACATTGCTTAGGTCTGAACAGTTACAGCTCTGGCCTTCATGAGCCTTAGGCAAGCCCTGGATCTTTAGTTCTAACGAAGCCTAGCTAAGCACGCAGCCTCTCCATTAGCCCCTCAAGCTCACCCAGATGCACACACAACAGGGTGGATTCCCTAGAACATTCTTAAAATACAGGTATGACCTAATGGCTATCATCCTGTAAGTTCTAAAATCATAAATAATTGTTGAAATCACTCTAATTTTTAGAGTGAACTCCAAGTTTTGTAAATAATTGTGCTAAAATAGCAATATATTTATAAATACGGTTTACTAATATTATTACATAAAATACTGACAAAACCTTCCCACAACTAGGGTTTTTAAAGGAAAATAAAAAATGCTAAAAGGCCTTTTATGGTTTAGCTGCCTGTCTTCCTTTTTTTTCTAATTTACATTTAATTAGCCAACATACAGCACATCTTTGGTTTTAATGTAGTGTTCAGTGATTGAATAGTTGCATATAACACCCAGTGTTCATCACAACATGTGCCCTCCCTAATACCCACCACAGAGCTCCCCGATCCCCTCAGCCCCTCCACTATGAAACCCTCAGATTGTTTCCCGGAGTCCAGAGTCTTTCATGGTTTGTCTCCCTCTCTGATTTCTCTCCCTTTGGATTTCCCTCCCTTCCCCCATGTTCCTCCATGTTATTCCTTATGTTCCACATATGAGTGAAACCATATGATAATTATCTTTCTCTGCTTGACTTACTTCATCAGCTTAATCCCCACCAATTCCATCCATGTTGATGCAAACAGTGGGAATTCATCCTTTCTGATGGCTGTGTAATATTCCATCGTGTATATGGACCACATATTCTTTATCCATTCATCTGCTGAAGGACATCTCCGCTCCTTCCACGGCTTGGCTATTGTGGACATTGCTGCTATGAACACTGGGGTGCATATGGCCCTTCGTTTCACTACATCTGTAACTGTGCGGTAAATACCTAGTAGTGCAATTGTGAGATCATGGGGTAGCTCTATTTTTAACTTCCTGAGGAACCTCCATACTGTTTCCCAGAGTGGCTGCACCAGCCTGTGATCCCACCAACAGGGTAAGAGGTTCCTTTCCTCCACATCCTCCCCAACATTTGCTGTTCCCTGTCTAATTCATTTCAGCCATTCCAACTGGTACAAGGTGGTACCTCATTGTGCCTTTAATTTGTATTTCCCTGACGACTAGTGATATGGAGCATTTTTTCATGTGTCTATTGGCCATTTATATGTCTTCGTCGGAGAAGTGTCTCTTCATGTCTTCTGCCCATTTCTTGACTGGATTATCTGTTTTTTGGGTCTTGAGTTTCATAAATTCTTTATAGATCTTAGAAACCTAAATGCCTGTCTTCCTATAATAAACCTGCTTTCCTTTCCTCCATCCTACCCCTGCTCCATTGGCCACTGTCACCACTGCCCACCACCCCTCCTGCCCCCAGCAACTCACACCCTTCTCCCCAGGGCTGCTGAGCCCCCTTCCATCCCAGCACCCACCTTAAGCACGGCCCGCATACTTCTCTTCCTCCCCACTAGGCTACAAACTCCTTGGTGGCAGAAACTGTTCCTTACTGACCCCATAGCCCAGGCAGGACTGGGACATAGTAAGAACTCAATCAAACAGTTCTTAAGAATGAATGAAATTAGAAATCTACTTAAGTGTACTTCACCAAGATCAAATTTGCCTAAGTATTGTTCGTACTTTAAACTGAGCCCCATTCTGGACTGAGTAAAAGCCCTAAGGTAGCTTGGATGATAAGCATCCACTAGGAAACATCAGGTCAGATGTGATCGTGGCTGCCCCTTCAGGTCCTCAGGTTCAGGTGGGGATGGAGGGCTGAAAAGGATTGAAACTTCCAAATCTAGGCCTCCTGAGGGTACCTTATTCCCGGAAGCAGCATCCCCTCCACACCCACCCACCCACGCACGCACACAAGCACACACACACGTGGACACACACCCAGCACTGGGGAGGTCAGGCAGGGCTCTAGTCCTAAGCACGGGACAAGAGGAAGCAGGGAGTTCTTTGTTCTTTCAGAATCGAAATTCTAAAAGACCCAGCTCTTTCTTGCCTGCAGACACATCCACTATTTCTCCTGGACTTGGAATGTCAGCTTCAAACTCCACTTTCGAGAGGGAGAAAAAAATTTATTATGCTACGGAGTCATTTACTTACCATCAGCTGTGTGAAGGAGCTTGTGACTTTTCAATGTCCCTTTCGACTTGAATTTCTTGCCACACATGTCACACAGGTGGGTCTTCTCAGTGCTGTGACGATTCATATGAGCCTTGAGGTTACTCTTGCTACGAGTGGCGTACTCACACAAAGAACATTTGAAGGGTTTCACACCTACCGGGGAAAATACATACATGCATATATAATTAAATTACAGACACACACAGAGACACACCCTTCATATGTGCGTCATGTGTGTGCACACCCACATCGAACAAAGCAGTGCACTTGCCTGTCCCTAGACACGCCGCACACGGGCCTGGCCATGCTCTCCTCCGTGCTGCTCTGCCCGACAGCCATGTCCTGTGTCCTCCTGGATCTGCCGGGACTTCCCCCTGTGCAGCTTGTTCTGGCTTGCCCAAGCCAATGCCCCTGCTGCCCTCTCAGTGTCCCCACGTCCTGAAGCCCCGCTAGCCGAGCCGCCAGAGAGCACTGTGAGTCATCGGCACCCGCCCCTCCCCACAGCCCGGGAACTCCTTGCTGGCAGAGCCCTGAGCATGTTCTGCAGCCCACATCCATGACATTCCACTGAACCAAGATAAGCTGACCCACATTAAACAAGGGCCTGTGCAGCAATCAATGGGATCGGCCCCCAGGATCAGCAGGGAAAGCATATTTCCATAAACTAAGCAGAGCCTTAGGACACGAGCTGCTGGTGGGCTAAAGGCTTGGACTGTGGGGCATGCTGGCTGCTCCCCCTTCACTCGACAGACACCTACTAAGGGCCTACTCTGGAGCACTCACTCCCTTAGGCGCTCTGAAGATGAGAAGCCATGGTGTTTGTCACCGCCCGGAGGGAGTTGCAAAGCAAAAAAGACCATGACACCCAGAGCAACGTGTACAGGAGGAGGGACGCGGTGCCTAATCCTGAACACGGGGAGGACCGACACACTGTGCGCCCAGCATTTTCACCCCTTGTCTACAAGACCCAAGACTTAAAAGTGAAGGAAATCGAGGCTTCACTGAGGCTGCGGGGTGTGCCTGGAGCACAGAGGGCAGGTGCTGTCCTGGTAGACAAACAGTGCCTCCCAGCCTTGGCTTTGAGCTCTGCTCCTTCTGTCTTAGCTGGGTCCCTACTCCACCATTTACTGAACTGTTCGCCTCTCCCTCCCTGATGGTGCCTCCCCCAAGGCCTGAGAACAGGTGTTTCTGTCCTCCCGGCAGAAAACACATCGTCCTTTGTCCTCTCCAGGAGTCCTCTGCCTGCAGCACTCCAGCTTCCTAAGTCACAGGCGGGACCTCAGCAAACATCCGGGAGAACCACACACCTCCGCTCACTGCAGCTGCCCCCGAATGGGCAGCAACTGAACTCCCTGAGCTTTGCTGGCCGATGGACACATTTCTTAGGAAGCTTCAGGAAGCGGAAGTACGTCTAACTGCCGGGCATGTGACAGGATGGCTTCCTCATCAAGTACGCCCACGTGGGGAATGGAGGCACAAAACGCAAATGGAGGTCCACCTGGGAGAGGAGCACTCACCTTCGTGAGCCCAGATATGACGCTGAAGGTCGGAGCCGTTCTTCATGAAATAGAAATCGCAGTACGGGCACTTCATGGCTCGCTTCCCTATCAGACCTTTCAGCTGAACCCTCCGCCCAAGCACCTCAGAAATAGTGCTCATGGACACCTCTAGAAGGAAAACAGGGGCATCATCAGAAGCCAGAGAGGATCGGCCCCCCGCCCCGAGACGTCCGGGAACCTTGTGACCGCACCCCAACGCCCTGGCTGGTCCCAGCAGCGCTCACATGGTCGATCGAGACGTTGCCCCCCCCAAGTCACGCGACAGGACTCATGCCTGAAAACTGAACCAGACTCTGATCATGTCTCAGATCTAAATACCCATGAGCATAAAATGCAAGGGATAGAGAAACAAGACCATGAGGCACCTTCAGACAAATGCAGGACACGAAATCATGTACGAAAAGCGACCCGGTCCCTCCAAGGAACTGATGTCACGGGAACAAACGTGAGGAGCGGTGAACCACAGGATATTAGAAACTCAAGTGACATAACAAGTAAAAGCAACATGCCTGGGTCTTGATTCACACAGTCCTGTGTCGACTGAGGAAATTTTAAATGAACTAATGCTAGGCGGTAATAAAGAATCACCATTAATTAATTCTGCTGGTTTTGCTTACACTCCAAAAACACCCTGATTAGCATCCCAACTTCTTTTTACAGGGAAATGACCTAAGTGCAGGACCTACTTTAAGATATTCTAGAACAGAAAGTCTGGAGGGCTGAGACACGAAACCGGTCTGACAGAATGCACCCGAGTATGGCACCTGTGGGGGTTCCTCATATCCTGTGTTTTGTGCATATTTGAAGTTTAGACCGAAGACAAAGCATGCCTCACATAGGTTCCTGAGACAGGGTGGCCAGTTTTGAGCGTCCTGGGCTCACACTGGACACAGGGTGACAGACCAGAACGAGGCCATCAGAGAATCCCATAACCTATGTGTCCCACACGGATGAAGGTCTTAAGGCTCCATCTGGTCCCAGATAAAACATGAGTGTTGGCGAACTCTGTTATTTCTTTATTTTTCTTCCGTATCACTTATAATCAGCGAATCGGTGCCCTAGCCCAGGAGCAGATACAAAATAAAGCAGATACAAAGGGGACACGGATGCAGGGAAAGGTGCTTGGCTTACCTGTTCCTCATTTATACCACACACAGTCCTCTCGGGCCTGCCCGATGGGACGCTGGGGACCTGGGGCTAGACCGTAACAATGGCAGCCCTTCCGCAAGGTTCTCACGGGGAGCGAGGGCAGGAGAATGCCAATGACCTGAACACAAGGGTCAGCACACAGAGGGCGGGGATATGGCCCTCCCCCAGGTGAGGAGCCCCCAAATCCTCCCCAAGAATGGGACTCCAAGGAAGAACATAGAGAATGAATAGGAATTAGCAGAGTGGAGGAAATGTGTCCCAGGTGGTGAAAACAGAGGTGTGACAGGCGTGAATACCCGAGCGGCTCGTGCTTCACACCTCCGAGTAGCCAAAGAGACCCATGTGGGGAGACCCGAGGCGACGGTCACTCCAGCTCAGCAAGGCTCCTCAGCCTGCGAGCGCATACCCCTCACAGACCACCATGGTGGGCACCAAACTTTTCGTGGGTTCCCAGGGAGTGGCGTTGAGGTCAGACCTACTTATAAGTGACCCACCCAAAGGCATTCCAAGTGAACACACAAAGGGAGGAGGAGGGCGATGGGAGTGTGGGGAGATCTATCAGAAGACCAAATGAAAGGATAAAATGAAGGAATTAAAACAACTTCCCAACATTAAATTAACGTAATCATTTCCCTCAAATTCACTCATCCTTTCATCCCCCTTTATTCCTATTTCGTGCAGTTGATAGTTTCAAAGTAAACATAAGCCCTTTCAAATTAATCTCCCCTCCAAAACGCATAACCTTACCAGGATGGTTGGTCTTGATGTGCGACTTTATCAATCGGTCTTCTGAAAAAGACTTTTCACACACTGGACAAGAGTAACTCCTTTTGTCCTTAACAGAAAGAGAACATAATCAATGGAGTGTCTCATTCAAACCTGGGCTCCATGGGAAAACCGCCACCACCGCCACCACCGCCACGGCTGCCGCCACCACCGCTAGACCACAGTGCACCTTTGCAAACACAGTGACATGCCGCCTGCACCTGGCCCCACACAGCCTGGGGAGCTCCGGAGCGCAAAAGGGAGGGGCAGGGCTTACAGGTGACGGTCCGCTGGAGGTGGCCAGGCCGGCAGAGCGCAGGGCTCGGCCTCGAGGTCTACCGTGCAGACCAGCGCTGCTCCATGACCCAATGCGTATTATGTCCTCCAGTACTCTCTGCGTGGTGTACGGGGGGATTCACAGAAGTTATTTTACTAAGACTTGCACCACTTTTAATGGACAGGCATCCTGATGCTCACGTTACAGATTAAGACAGGAGGCCAAGGGTGATGAGCCCCAAGTCTGAGAGGAAGAGCCAGTTTCTGAACCCAAGATGCCCCCCCCCACCCCTGCAGCTCCTACGACTCCCAAGGCCCGCCTCCCACTGAGGCTGCGGGTAAGGAGTTCATTCCGCCCTGCTCCCTGCTTCACTGACCCCGCTAACTGCCACGCTATGTTCTCACTATGGGGGAGGCTCTTGTGAATGGTCAAGCTGTAGCTTTTGCTCACCTTTTCCTTCAGCTCACTGTAGGGCTACTTCATATGCCAATTTTCCCCCAAAGGGTGGGTGTTATGGGTTCAACTGTGTCCCCTGCAAAATTCATATTAAAGTCCTAAACCCCCGTACTTTAGAATGAGACCTTATTTGGAAATAGGGTCATTGCAGAAGTTATGGTGGTGGCGCGGGGTTGGGGGGGTGGTGGTGGCAAATCCAACATGACTGGTGTCCTGATTTTAAAAAAAAGGAACTCTGGACACAGACATGCACACAGGGGGATGCCACGTGAAGAAGGCGGCAGAAATCCAGGTAATCCAGGTGACGAGACTGCAAGCCAAGGAACAGAGATTTTGCTGGAAAACACCAGAAGCTAGGAGGGAGGGCAAAGAATAGACTCTCCCTCATGGTCCTCAGGAAGAAGTAACCAAGCCGTCACCCTGATCTTGGAATCCCGGCCTCCAGAACTGGGAGACAATAGCCTACTCGTGGGCAGGGGGCCCTAGGGGCTAATACAGGGGGCAAGCAGACGAAGGGAAAGGCCACAGCCAGCCTCCACCTGGGCAACAGGTGCTTCGGACGGGGGAGAGGGGCAGACAGACAGCACAGGGCACTGCGTGGGAGTTTGCTCCCACCTGCCCTCAGCGTCCCCAAAAGGGAAAACCACCAATGAGGCAGCATTAGCACAAGCTCACCAGGCGGAGAAACACCCATGAACTCATGACGAGTTGCGAAGTGTGACCTATGTTAAACAGCACCAGCCCACAAGAAAGGCAGGAGCCATGGCTGCAAGGAAAGGTTTCAGGCCCTGCGTGTTCTAGGATGTTAACAGTCCCTGCTCACCTTGATGTACAGGAGGACGAGTTCCCACCACTGACTGAGCACCTACAAGGAGCTCGACATTGTACCAAGTGCTCTCCGTGTCTTGTGAATGAGTCAGTCACCCCACAATGCAGTCTACTTACACCAATAAATCATGACAGCAATAGTGACCGTTTCTTAAGGACTTCCTCATGCAGAGTGCTGTGCTCTGCACACCACATCCTACAAGGCATCTGAGAAGCTGTCCAAGGTTCACACCACCCCCAGAGAGCACAGGTGGGTGTCCAGACCAGAACTCTGTACTCCAGAGTTCCTGCTCCTACAAGACAGTGACTAGGAGTATGGACTCACGGCTCTGAGTCCCTAGGTCCAAATCCTGGCTTCACCACTTATTAGCTGGGGAACTTTGGGCAAGTGACTTCACCTGTTAATGTCCTGGTTTCTTCATTTGCAAAATGGCAATAAAAACAGCCTCCTTGCTAGGAGGAAAAAGGAAATTAAAAACACACAAAGTGGACTTCCAATTTCCGGTCCAGCACATAAGAAGCTTGGAGGTCTGCACTCCATCCTAACAAATGAAATGTTGGACATACTGAAAAAGCAACAACTCTTCTTAATCCATTAGATTATAGGGCAAGCCACTGCCCCCCAAGCTGGAGAGAAGGCAGAGAATCATGACTTCTGGGAGCACAAACCCACAAGCAGAAAGCTCTCTGAGAACCAGGACCAGGGGGTAGGGGGTGCATTTTGAAATACACCACAGCATTCTGTTCCTCTTAACAAGGCCTGCCAATTAACCAGCACCTAACCTGCTGCGGTATTATTAGAGACTAAGCTACCTGGGGGAAGGGAAATATCCACCTCCAGCCACCTACTACATCCTTCCACGTGTGAGAAAGGATACTACCAAACCCAGACCCCTTTAGCCATCCTTCCCCACCTAAGGGAGCTGGGGAAAAAAAACGAGAAATACTGGAAAAGTTCATGTCCAGGGGCAGAGGTTCACCAAGAGATGGAGACCTAATCACAGGGCTAGAGAATGAGCCCCCACCCCCACACCTTACCAATACATTAATGAAGGCCTAATATAGTTCTTTGTACCCAGCACATCCTGTCTAGCTTTAAAGGAAGAAAAAAATTATAAGACACACTAAAAAGCAAAACACACAGTTTGAAGAGACAGAGCAAGCACCAGAGCCAGACTCAGATACGGCAAGGATGCTGGGATTACCAGACTGAACATTTAAAACAACTCTGATCCGCATGCTCAGGGCTCTATTAGATGATGCAGAGAGGAGGCAAAAGACGTTGCCCATAATGAAAGCAGAGACATGAACATTCTCAGAAAGAACCAACAAAGAAATGCTAGAGATCAAAACCACTGCCACACAAGTGAAAAATGCCTCTGATGGGAGGCGTAAGGGACTGGACACAGCTGAGGAAAGAATTTCCGAGCTTACAGGTATCTCCAAAGAAACCTGCAAAACTGAAAAGCAGGCAGAAAAGAAGATTGATGGAAACAGAAGAGAATATCTAAAGACTGTAGGACGACAGAAGGTGTAAAATGCATGTAATGAGAATACGAGAAGAAAGAGATAGAGGAAATGAAGAAATATCTGAAATGATAATGACTGAGAATTTCCCTTACGAGATGTCAAATGCCAAAACAGATCCAAAAAGCTCAGAAAACACCAAACAGGAATAATACCAAAGACTCTAAACCGATCATGTTCGAACAACAGTAAATCAAAGGTAAAGAAAAAGTACTGAACAAAGCCAGGGTTGGCAGGGAGGACACCTCACCTCTAAAGAAGCAAAGATAAGAATTACACCCAAGTTCTCAGAAACCACACAAGAAGAGAACAGAGTGAAATATTTATAGGGCTGAAAGAAAAAAAGAAAAACACCAATGCAGAATTCTGTACCCTGCAAAAGTATCCTTCAAAAAGGAAGGAGAAATACAGACTTCCTCAGACGAATAAAAATTAAAGGAATTTGTTACTGCTAAGAACTGTCTTATAAAAAATATTAAAACAAGATAAAGCTAGAAGATTGATCTGCATAAAGAAAGAGCACCAGAGAAGGAAGAAGTGAAGGTAAGATAAAAACATTTATCTTAATCTTAATTGATCTAACAGAAAGTTTGTTCAAAATAATAACAGCAAAATAATAATAATAACAGCAACAATGTATTCAATAAGTTTTCTGTATACATATGCTTATATAAAAGTGAAATAAGTATCAGCAGTGATACAAGGGGTATGAAGAATGAATTGGGATTATTTTGTTATTACAAGGTACTTACACTATCCATAAAGTGGAACAGTGCTATCTGAAAATCAACTTGGATTATATATAAGCGTATACCACAAGTTCTATGGTAACCACTAGAAAAAGTAATAAATAAATAAAATAAAATTTTAAAAGTGTAAGTAATAATGCGAAGAAAGGAGAGAAAATGAAATCCTATAAAATGCTCAATTAAAACTACAAATGAGGGGTGCCTGGGTGGCTCAGTCAGTTAAGCATCTGCCTTGGGCTCAGGTCATGATTTCAGGGTCCTGGGATCAAGCCCCTTGTTAGGATCCCTGCTTAGCAAGGAGTCTGCTTGTCCTTCTGACCCTCCCCCTGCTCATGCTCTCTCTCTCTCTTTCTCTATCTCAGAAAAATAAATATAATCTTAAAAAATAAATAAATAAATAAAACTACAAACAATAGAAAAGATCAGAACATAAAGGAACAGAGAACAAGGACAACAAATAGAAAACACTAACGAATATGATCAATATTAATTCAACTGTATCAATAACCACTCTATCAATGATCTAAATGTACCAATTAAAAGACAGAGACTGCCAAGCTAGATCAAGAAGCAAGATTCAACTATATGTTGGCTGTAAGAAACCCCCTTTAAATCTAAGACATATGCAGATTAAAAGGGAATTATACCACACTAACACTATTCGGAAGAAAGGGGAAGTAGCTTTATTAATTTCAGACAGAACAGACTTCAAGGATAGTTACCAGTTATAAAAAGGGACACCACATAACACTGAAGGGATCAATTCTCCAAGAAGACATAATAAGCCTTAACATGTACGCATCCAACAACAGAGTCAAAAATCATGAGGTAAAAACTGGTAGAGTGGCAAGAAGAAAACGTTGAATCCACTACTTTAGTTGGAGACTTCAACGCCCCTCTGTAAGAAATGGACAGATCCAGCAGGCAGAAAATCAGTAAGAACACAGTTGAATTCAACACCACCATCAATCAACTGGCAATAATTGACATCTATAGATGGCTTCATCCAACAGCCACAGAATACACATTCTTCTCAAGGTCACACAGAACATTCACCAAAATAGACCACATTCTGGGCCATAAAAATAGCCCTCAACAAACTGAAAAGGATAGAAATCATACAGAGTCTGCTCACAGACCCCGATGGATTAAACTAGTCATCAGTAACAGAAATATAGCTGGACCATTGCAAAATATGTACAAATTAAACAGCAAACTTTTAAAAGAACAAGT